TGGGAAAACTTGGCCTCAAAAATCGAAACACATCACTGTTGGAGAAAAATTATATTACTATTAGCTCCTACGTTGGTGATTTGAATTTAAAAAAAAACTTTTGACTTTAAAAAAAATTTTGATTTTTGCAAACTATCTGATAATAGCAGGCATTGCATGGAGCTCAAATTGCTTAGTTTATGTTTACTATGGCAGAGTATTACATTTTTATACTGGTCCAACTTTCATGAAAAAGCTAATAAATCCGTATAAAGGTAAAAACCCTGTGCATCTTCGTTTCTTCAGAAAAAAAAAGATTCATTCGACCTAATCTCAAGTTGCGGATTATAGTTTTATGGATTATTACGTAGTATGCTCCAGGTTCGCATAGCTAATCTGCATAATCTTATATATAAAGCTGAATGTCTGTCTGTATGTCTGTCTGTATGTCTGTATGTCTGTACGTATGTGCGGAATAGAAATTTTTATTTCTGAACCGATTTGGACCAAACTTGGCACACTTACACTTCGGGGCAGGGAGCGTGTCATAGGCTACTTTTCGTTATCGATCGATATCGATTTTATCGATTTTTTGCAAAGTTTGAGCTAGGGAGCTGGGATTTTGCACACCGGAGGGGTTGATCAGCATGCTCGATTACCCCCCTGTGCAAAATCCTAGCCCCCTAGCTCAAATTTTGCAAAAAATCGGTAAAATCGACATCGATCGATAACGAAAAGTGGACTATGACACGCTCCCTGCCCCGAAGTGTAAGTGTGCCAAGTTTGGTCCAAATCGGTTCAGCGTACACGGGCGGAGCCGGGTAAGCCAGCTAGTAGTCAATAAGATGTGGTAGCACAGGAAGGAACGTATGGGTAAATAAATAATTTATGGAAATGAAAATGTAAAGAAAAAAGCGAGAAGATATTGACAATTCCGCGAAATCAAAGCGTATGGAAAACCTATGATTATCAGAAGTTTTCTTCCCCGAGAGAAAAGGTAAAACTAACAGGAAAAAGGAAGATTACGGTGTTTGAGCTTAGAAAATATTTGAAAAATTATTGAGCCAAAAAGGTGGACGATTGCAAGAAATATTGATTGACTTTGTCTCGTTCTTTCTCTTGAGTATGGGTTTGATTCTCAAGTGTTTCTGGGACTCTTCAGCACAAAGAGAGATTTAGAATGAAGTTAAAGTTTCTATGTAACAAAATTCATTGACTTTTGGACATTTTGAATTTATTTCAATTTCTGTTTTAAAAACTGTTAAAAAAGGCAAGATTGCATGTGTCGATTGAATCCATGAAGAAAATTCTTTTCATCTTAAAATTTCTCGCTTTTGGGAAAGAATTTAGACCTTCAACTTAGTATTTTTTCCCAAAGGAATACTAGAAAACATCGCCGCATCGCTGTGCATTTCGCCATGAATGAGAAAACCGGAAAAATGAATCGAAAACAAGTTTTCAACGAGAGCAGTGCTGTAATTGCAATGTTGAAAGTCATAGAAGTGTTGTAGCCAGTTGCGAAAAATAAGAAGAAAGGCTTTTTGGGGGCAACAAGTAATTATTGTAAGCTTGAAGTCTTGAAAGGATCTTACACAAGTTTCTTCCTTGTTCCGCTTCCGTGTTGGAATCATAGAGAGAAAGCAGGACAATTTTGGAGATGTTTTTGACTTTACGCTGTTAAAACTTTGCGGTATGCTGCCATTGAATTTTGCTAATTTTCTGCAAGTAAAGTCATTATTGAGACAGAAGTGAGTCAAATTTTGGGGAAGTTATTGTAATCGAAATTCTGTTGTGCCAGTTAAAATTCATGTGAAATTATTTTTGACACAAATACTCTAGTCAAGCAATGTAAATGATCGAAAATCGCATTCAAATTCTCCTTGTTCCTCAATACAGGACTTAATAACTAGTAAAGTTAGAACACACATTTAAAAAATTAAGATTTATAGACATCCTGAACATTCCTGACCGATGAAAATGTTGCTGTTCAAAATCCATGAGCAGCATGAAGATCGCTATAATCGAGTTAGTACATAGGCCTTTGATTCAACAGGCTTGGCGGCTGGAAGGCGGAGCTTTGTGACCTAATAAGGGCCGCTCGCGCCGCTATGCACTGCGTCTCTCCCGCGCGCGTGCTTTCTGATCATTATGTAGCCTTAATTAGGTCACGAAGCCCCGCCCTCCAGCCGCCAAGCCAGTTGAATCAAAGGGTATCTAATAATGTTCAGGTTATAATTTTTTTCCGATTGCCAAAAACTTTAGAAAGGTTCATGAAGTCTAAACCATACTTCTTGAAAATAAACTTGAGAAGTGGCTTATGCTGCATTTTTACTGATGTTCATGGATTCAATGATTTTTTGCAATAATTGATCTGGCAGGCTAAAAATTGGCAGAGAGGTAGGCGAGCATGCTTTTTCTAAATAAAAAATGTCCATTATTTCCCTTGTTGACCGCTTATATCAATTTATTGATCCTTACTCAATTATAGGGCAACTAGGAAAGATGATATCATGGCTGACAAAGTTTGTCTGACGGTTTTGGACAAATGTATGGGAAAAGAATGACTTTAACCCATCGACAACGATATGGACCACCGGTGGCCCACGCACTTTTACCACCAGTAAATAACTACAATCATCTTCTTGAACGACGAAGTATACAAGTTCCAAAAAAAAGTGCAAAGAATTGGAAAAAAATATTAAACTGTGGAAAAAAGGCTAGAACTGGAAAGGATATATTTTTGCAAAAGGTGTGGGCCACCGGTGCCTTGTAGACTTCGTCGTCCAAGAAGATGATTGTAGTTATTTACGAAACAACTTTAACTTCGTAAATATTCACAAAACTTTCCCTGTCGAAAGCGTTGTGCAAAATCACGTCGTCTCACAGCGTCGAAATGCAAAATTAGGCGTCGTCGTCAATGGGTTGTTTTATTTATGATTTCTGTGTGGCACTTTTGAATGCGCAATTGTAGAGTTTCAAGATAAATAAAAGTATGTTCGCCTCAACGATGTAAAGGAACACAAATATAAGATCAGGTTGAGTCAATCATACTTCTAGTGGTTGAAATCTTTAAGGAAAGAAAAAACGAAAAAAAAACAGCGTAAAGGGGACGATAGTGGAAAGCAGGCTACGAGCTATCGATTTATTTCTCTAGTCGATTCTCTAAAATTTGGTCGCAAAAAACAGGTGATTGCAATGGAATAGCATGGCTCGAGATCATTTACTAGAATTTTCCGCAAGTGAAGAGAAATTCTGCAATCTAACCGCACAGAACTGATGTGCATCACAATAGAAAAACTGTAAAACTACTAGCAAAACTGGTTTTCGGCGCAAACTCGCTAATTCGCTAATTTAAGCAGTCTATGGTTGAGAAGAAGAAGCGAACAAGAATCTTCTAGGTATGATTCACAAGGAAATTTTCGCCAATGAGTATGACCTGTATCATTATCGTCCAAATGTGCGCTCTTTTGGAGCGAAAGGTCTTAAATTCAAAAAAAAAGTTTTCATCTAAAAATAAACATAGCCTAAGGCACACTGAAAACCACTAAGATCATGTGATACCCTTAAAAAGCCAAAAAAGGAAGAAAATGTTCAAAGCAACGATTTTTCGCATGCATTATGCGCGCAGGGGCATACATTAGGGCATTGATGATAGTTTTGATGGTTTCCATCGTCTCAGACAACAGGAATAGAAAGAATAACGGAAAAGTCAAGGAAAGAGAGGGGATTGCTTCACTGGGCAAAAATCATAATTTTTTTAAGTGGAAAATCGCAGGTACCTTATGATAATGAGATAGTGAAAAAATTCAGAACTTAGGACTTGACAGATACTCAAAAAATGCTTAATAATAGAAATGAATTGTTATTGTCGAAAGAATAATGTTTTTTTAGATTTTTTGTGCACATGGTGCATTTACACACAAGGCACCAAGTCGAGCAAGCTGCCGCGAAATCGCGGTTGCAGTTAGAAGGCGAAATACCTGGCTTGCGACATGTAGTTATCAGCAGGCATAAAATAACTTCATAAAAAGTCCTGCCAATTATTTAGAAACTGGCAAGAACGAGATGAATTTAATATAGAAAATTTATTGAAGCAAAACATTGGCAAATTTTTTTGTGCGAATGCATTTTTATCAACGGCACACCTAGAGTGTATTACAGCTAATAAATAAAAATAAGTAAACATGGTGCAAGTACACAAAAGGCAGCAAGTTCGAGCGAGCAGCCACACTAAGCGCGAAATCGCGGCTGCTTTCAAAAAGCAAAAAAAATACATCGGCATACGGTATATGTGGCTACTAGCATTCATAGCATTAATCGGCTGAAACAGCAATAAATTTATTCTCATTGTGTGTAAAAGCAGAATTTTCAGGATTTTGACAGTAGGATGCAGTTTTTCAGGTAAGAAGCGCTTGAAGTATAGTCGCTCACGTTTTTTAGAACGCGATCACGTCTTAACAAGTAAGAGAACAAGAAAAAACACGTGAAAACCGTAGTACCCGTAATTATTGTGGACAAACATGAAGACTGTGCAATTGCACACATTAGCAAGGGAATTTACACCATGTGACTAGTATAAACGCGACAAATCGTAAATATTCTCATCTCTAAGCGGGAAAAAATAACAAAGCAGGCCCAAGCAGCTTAAGGGACCAAAACGATTGCATAAACTCTGCAAATTAAGGTCGACGAGGTTGGATGTATGGATGGATGTGATTTGTGTGTGCTCGATCGTCTTTCGACGGTGAGTTGCACTGTCAATACTGCGTCGGTCGTCGTCGCGATCGACCAGAGAGAGAAATCGATGCGCAATGCAGAAAGAGAGGCGAAGGTCGTCAAATGGGTCAGCGATTCTTATGGGTTGAGATTAACAACTAGCAGATATGGAAGGATTTTTAACTTGTCAGGGATGACATAGGTCCAACCATGCCAAAAAATGGCCGTCCATCATTTTTTTCGTACAGAAAAATTGGGAAAAAAATTCATGACAGAAGCGAAAATGGAAAACACCCGGAACTAACCAGATTTGCAGGAGATTTACGGACTTTGTGCCGGACGCTACCAGCGTAATACTCTAGTGCAAAGTTTAAAATGCGAGTGCGAATTTTTCAAGTTTCCGGTTTCACGACTCAACAATTGCTGCAAATATCGATTGAAAATCATATTTAAGAAATTCTCCTTTTGCCCTATTGACTATAGGTGCCGCGGAGTAACAATTTGCTTCTGGTTTGTGAATATGTTTCTGCTCATAAAAGTCAACGAGAATACTTTCTCATTGTCCTAATTTTAGTGAGGTGGAGATATAAGAGCTGTGAAACGGTGAATCTTTTTTTTTTTGAATTTAGAATATGGGGAAGCTTGTACTAAGTTGTCTCAGAAGCAAATCGTATTTTTATATAAATCAAACTGTTTTTGTTTTCCTGGCAAACTTGGGGAACCATTCGATAGAGCGAAGCAAGCTCTACAAAATGATTACCAAAGAACCATTTAAGTCGCGATCCAGGTAAAATGCGGATCCAAAACTCAAATTTTTTTAGCTATTCCTAAAATCGGATCTCCTTCCAGAAAATTTTTACGAACTTCCAACTTGGTCCACATATAGTAGACACATAGTAGTACCGGGAAATGTTTTTGATTGATTTTTTCCGCAGCTCAAAATTGAGAAACAAAGATGGTCCGAAAATGCCAAAATGCCACTTTTTCATGGGTTTTTCATGTAAAACTTGGTACTTCTTGATTATAAGACCACATACAGGGGTGAAGTTTTTAGATTATATTTGGTAAGGCTTGTAGTACACAATGAGATATGTGGGAGGGGCTGGGGGCGGAGTTTGCCATTTCCAGACTATTCTTTTTGTCGCTTTCTAAGCTTGGAAAAAATCCAGTGAAGGCATATTTGAGTATTACTATGTGTCTACTGTATAATGACCAAGTTTGAGTTCGTAAAATTATTCTTCGCAAAAATCGAATTTTCAGGTAATAAATTTTTTATGATTTTTGCTAAACTTTACCTGGATTACGGCGTAGACGGATCTTTTGCGGTCATTTTGTAGAGCTTGCTTCGCTCTATCGAATGGTACTACAAGTCTGCCACAAAAAACAGTTTTAATTATTTAGAAATATGGTTTACTTCTGCGACAATTTAATAGATAAATAACGGTTATGAAACGGAGTGTTTTCTGGCTTGCTGGGGAACTTGCAGAAATAAAAGGAAACTTAGCGAGTTTTTGAAAAGGAAAAACCTTTATAGACTGTCATGAATTGGAGTTTTGCCGCACTCGAGATTGATAACCACTATTTATTGGCTGACGTTTCGGCAGATTTTCTTCAGAGCCTGGAATGGACAAAACCATCCGCAATCCACTCGACCGAACGTCTCTGCAGATTTCTGAACTGTGACGAGAAGGAAATAGAGATATAATGGTTGTGAAACGGGGATCTTTCTGTTTATTTATACGGGAAAATTTGTGGAGATGTACGACGGCTATGAAAGGTAATTTTCTTTCAATATACAGGAAACAAAATTTACTAAACAATATTAGATGCAGAGATGTTACTTCGATGAAATGATGAAAATTCAGAGAAGCCAGTTATTTGCGTTAGTCCAGCTAGTTTTATTGAATAGCGTCTCAATAATTCAACCGGCGGCAACTTTCTGCGCAAGTTTTTCAAATGCACGAAAAAAACGGAAATTCAAGTTTTCATGCTGTAGCTACTTTCGCAAAGTCAATGAACACGCAAAGTGTGCCCTATTTTCGCAGAAGTATTTCAGCATTATTTTTTACGCTCAGCCCAAAAAGCAGCAAAGTAAAGCACATAAGTCATACAAATCTACAATTTGAGTCTGCAAATTCAAATCAAAAATTCTCTCAGAAAACAAAACATGCAAATTTTACAATCAAATTTTGTACTCTTAATTATGAGGCTCTTCGAAATTACGGCTAAACTGTTCATTAAACACGATTATTGTTTTATTTGCATAGAGTTTGCAGAAACAGAGATATACAGCAAGTAAAATGAAGGCTGGTACCACATACCAGAATAAGGGTTTTCTACTGCAAAAAAATCACGGTGCACTTTCAGTTCTGCGGGTGAGGGGGGGGGGGGGCGGGAGCATGGCGCAACTGCAGTTCGAGCAGGTAATCTAAAAACTTGGGCGTATAAAATCCACCAATGTTTCCAAAACGTACCTCAAAATAAGCGAATGTATTTTGTTTTTAAAATATTCGTGTCCAAAAGCAGAGTGTCATATTTTGATCGAAATTAAAGCGTGAGAATTGTAAAACAGTGACAATATACGCTAGTCAACTTTTCCTCTGAAAATGCTTGTACAAATCCATTCATTTTACTTACTCGTATTAATTGCAGACAACTGACCGGAACTTCCGCAGAACGTTTAGGAAAGTTCCGCCGGGTCACCTGCGGAAGTTCCGAAGAATGGGAACCAAAACGGCAAAAGAGAACACCCAAGCGAGATTTTTGAACCTTACTCGATTGACTGCGAGACTCACTTATTATTCTCTGCACTACGGATGACATGTTCAAGATGCACTTTAGATGTTGGCGAGGCAACATCGTAAGAGACAACACATTTGAAAGCCTGCGAAGTAATGGCATGTCAAAGTGCTGCGGAACCGCTGGCATTTTTCGAAAGTTTCGCAGCGCTAACTGTAGAAAGCCCCGCGAAAATTCCCTTTTTCAACCAGTCTGACGTGAAAATTCTGCGGAAGTTCCCACTTTCAATGTTTCCACCTTTCCAACGGTGAACAAAATCTTGCGGAACCGCTGCATTTTCCTCTGTACTGCGGAAGTTCCCGTGAATTGTCTAAGTAACTCTCTACCAAAGCTATATATTAAGATATGGATCCACAGACTTTGTCAGTTATGTGCGTGCACAATAACTAAGTTCACAGCAAAATAAAAGATGTAGGTTATCGCAATCTCCGCCTACTATTTTCCTTTTTTTCCATTCAGCATTTTAAGTTTTACAGCGAGCACCTAAAGGCCCAAAAGCAGTTGACATTCAGACCCACCCAACCCATCACTTCAATAATGTCGGCGGTTGAAGGCCGAGTTGAGAACTGCTACTAGTTGGAAGAACACAGTTCTACTATCTTTGTACATTTCATTCATTACTTTTGCAGCATTTGCCTATAAATAGTAAAACCTGTACTGAGCATTTGTTGCAACACAGTGAAGCAGTAATATAGCAAAACCATAAGCAGCTATGCGATTGCATCCTCAAGATTGATGTGCGAAAAGCCCAGAGATGAATAGATTGGATATGCTTCATAAAAACCAATCTCTTCTCATAAGAATTCCTTGAAGGGCTGTATGTGTACGTCTGGCGGATATCGCACATTTTATGTAGCATTCAAAAATTTTTGACACTCTCTTGTATGGAAAGTTTCAAATTTTAGCTTGACGCAGGAATTAAGAAGGTCTTTATTTGCTTCAAAAGAAGTAATGCTATTCAGCATACTGCTAGACTAGACTGCAACTTTATTCAACATTTTTCGTAGCTCTACCTTCCACGAAATTCAGTGTATTTATTTGAACTTTATTTTCAAAGAACTATTTGAATGCATTTCTCGAATATGGACTTGAGCTTTTTGGAACAGTACTCAAAGTGGTTACTTGGATAATCTTATTGTAGAAGAACTATTTATCCTTTATTATTCTTTAAGCTTCTTCATTTTACAGGAGATTTTAGTTGAAAGAACGCTCCTCCTGGAACATTTCGCTTAATCTGACAAAAAACAAACGTGCTGGTTTATCTTTTTTAGACTTTCGGTACTCTACAAATTTCCTACAACTTTATTACTAAAATGAACTGCTGGGACTCAATTGACATAGGACTCGAACCGAATTAATTCGAGAAACAAAGCTTGCTTTAAAACTTGTGGAAAATTTTGAACACTATAAAATAGCCCTTTTTGTCCGTATTTTCAGAAATCTTTTGAAACAAACAATTGTGAGCGAAACATGAATCTGCTTAAAGATTTTGGGTGGCCTAAATGTCTATGAAAAACGACAAAGTAAAATTTGTTTGTTTATCGAAAATGCACAGTAACAGCAAAAAAAAAAAGAACGGCAGCATTGACCAAAATGCTACCAAACAATTGATGGGTGTACATAATGGTGGAACATTGAATACCATGCAATAGACGATGTATAGTCCTCTCTCAACCGGTTCGTCCACAGAGGTGCGCGCGAGGGCAGCGAAGAGGAACACTGGCTAAGAACTGGACGCAAAGTCTCACATTGGCCGATTTGGCATTTCTAATCCTAGCGAAAAAGTCGGTAGCTATTTGAGGTGATCCGAGAAGAATTCTTGTGGACAATTTTTCATAATTCAAGGCACTGCACAAATAAGTAGGAAACCGGCTTTATGTGCTCACGTGTAGAGGTTTAGACTGTTGTAAGATGCAAGTACACTGTTTAAGCTTAAAAAAACCGCAGCATTCAATGAAGTGTCCTGTGATCCCGTCATTTGCATCCCGTCAACACTCCTTAAACACAAGAATTTTCAGATGTTTCTTAGATTTTCAGAAAATAAAAATAAAAGTGTAACAGAAATTATCCGTCAACTTAATAGAATCAAGGAATGACTTGGTAGTGCAGCAAGACGGTAGGAAACCATGCTGCGAGAGGAAAATCTCCAAGAAAATCATACATTTTTTGTGACAATCTTCTTAAACATTTTTCCTTAGTGAGAAATCAGGAAAAACATTGAAATCGAGCCATCCCATCTAAAAGTTTGAGTGATTTTCGATAGGCAAGCCGATGCATTAGTGCATGCAAAGCCAAGGAGTGAGGTTCGAAAAAATGTTGGACGTGCGATCCTGCTTCAAGTGAAGAGTAATTCAAGCAATTCTAGAACGAATATTTCGATCTTGGGTTATTTATTGCCGTAAATGGTCATCATTAGCTGGCAATGAAGACTCTCATTATTGTAAAATCACATCGAATATTTAATACAAAGCAAAGTCTCAAAATGCTACCGGCAACGATTGAGAATAGTCATACATATATTTGAGCACTATTTGTGCTTTGAGTTAAAGCTTCGATTTGGCCTAGCGGTCTGGTTTTCTTCTTGAAAGTTTTCCTGTCAGTCTCAGCGTTTTCCTTAGCTTGAAACGTTAGGTTCAGGCAGCTAATATAAGCTAGCTGCGCGGCTTAGTTGCAAATCAAGACACGTTGTCGGACTCCTCAAATTCTTACATTCCTAGCGATTCTGTTATTTGGATTGGCTTTAAAATATAGTACTCCCTTTTTCCCTTATAGCACGGCAGGCCCGACTCGCTCCTACACCTCTAATGCCTCAAACCTTTGGTCACGAGGAGTAATCGCTTTCTGCTCCAAAGCCTCTAAATAATCAATTTTCGAGCAGCTTCGTTTTTGCTTTGCAAATTTCTAATAAAACGAACTAAAATTCCCTTTAGAATTCTTAATCGTCAAGAAATACCAATACTTTTGGCTTTAGAAGTGCCGCACTAAGTGTGGCTTGGCCATGCTTTTTGCCCAGCAAACTTCCAGTTTTTCGATTGTTTATCACAACGAACAAAAGCACGTTTATCTCTTCCATCTAGTGCAAGGCCGCTTTCTTGCATACATACGATCTCAAAACAGTACTGCAGTAATAGTCGTTCCATGCCTGAAACCATGATTCCTTGGCGATGTCTGCATAGGCATCAGGGTACATCTGAAATAATTTTAAGATGAGATTCGAGATTGAACGGAAATTATTGGATCATAGATGTATAAAAAAAGCAGAAAACTGGGAAGAGCTTCGCTCAGATTACTTTGTTCTCAACAGCGAACATGCTTTTCGGAGGCGCCGGTAGTGTCTTAAGCAAAAATTTGGCATGTTATCAACTTTTTTCCTCTACTAAACTGTCGCTATTCCAATTCCGTAAAAGCAGCTAGAAGAAAGGCGAAAAGCGACGAAAGCGACTTCAGTTTCTTGTCAAAAAAAGGATTGGTGGATACAACAATTTACAACCATAGCATTACAGAATAGCGCTCTGAGCTGGCAAAGAAAGCCGTTAAAGAGGAGCAGCGCGGGGCTGAAAGTCAAAGAGCGAATACCCATAAGTTAAGTTAGCATTTGTCCTGGAAGGACAAATTAGCTATTGCTGGCTTTAGTTGAGGAATTTCTACTTTACTGCGTCATCATCGCAAGAGCCCGAATTCAAGCAAATGCTTATAACCTCAAATTCTCACACAAGCTTTTTTCTTCAAGTATAGGCTGCCTCGAAAGACTCGGACATTTCAGACTATCTGCTTCTCGACAGCTAAAGCACGTACATCCTCAAAACTTTGCAGCTGTACACACTCTCTTTCGCCTGCAGCTGATATATAAGCAAGTGGGAGAAGCATAGGTATCGTGGGATGCCATCCACATTTCAACTGCCTCGTTTCTGTTTTGAAACTCAAATTTCGGACAAACGCACGTAAGTTTTAAGTATATACACTAGCCGACTTTCTCAGTTTAGCCCGGTCTACTGTTAAAGTGGCGGCCATGCCTTATCGCCGCCACATTCGCTCCGCACTGAAGACTTTATGGCAGACCGCTCGCTGCCAGTAGCAAAGTTTTTCAGCGAGAAGCGAAAGTGGCGGCGATAAGGTAACGGTGCTTTTGGTGGGGGCGGCTGAGAGCCTTTGATTGTCTGAGTATATGCTGTTTTGGTCCCAGCATAGTACTGAAAAGAGATCATTCCCCTTTCATATAGATGACTTACCTGTAAACTTCATTTCGCCGCATCTTCGGGATCCCAAGGCTAGAGTGAGTTTCACTCCCCTTTTTTACATGATCATGGGAAAATGCGGTTAGAACATGGTAAAGTTTTATTTTCAAAAAAGTACGTAAACAATAAATCGACAGAAGGACCCAGTGAACCGCCGCGAAAAGTAGCCCTAAGCAACCGCCGGGGTCGATAACATACATGTGCGAAGTTTCAGCTCAATTGGTTCAACGACGTTTCTATAAAGCACTAACAATGTAACGAACATCCCCACATAGATAAAGTGGTGCATGTGGGAGTATGATAACGTTCATATAAGTTGGAGATTTGGGTTAGGTTAAAATCCTATGATTTGAAATTCCCGACTGAATTTAAAGAAAACTCATTAATAATGCTTGTGCTTACCATAAACTTGTAAGGATTGCTTTATCCAACGATGTGCAGCGTGCTTCAATTAGTGAACACATCAAAAACAAACAAGTAAACGTGCACGAATCAAAAACTTTGTCTAAATGCAATGTCCGAGAACTTTTGCGCCAACCTAACACTTGAAAGGTGAATGTGTCGTAAATTAATTACGTAATTTACGACCTTTATTAATGTAGAATAATCTTGTATGTTCAGTATCTACTAGCTTGTCGTTGACAAACATTATTGTTCACTTACATTCTAATCGCCAGGTCACCCTTTTCACTGTGCTCAAAGTCTATTTGGATGCTCCTTCTTTCAAATAGGCAATCCTTCATGCTGTATGAATTGTTATTTACCAGGAGTGAGAATTTAGGTTACGCACACCCACAACGTTCATAAAAGGGCTTGAACGCTCAATTTTGGTGTTGCTTCGATAAATCAGGACTATCGTCAGCAGCCATTCCGCATAGTCACTGTTGATAGTCAGCGGCTGCTCCGCTACTATCTGATCACTCCTACGACGTGTGGTACTAGCTTGGTTCATCCAAAAATGTGACTTAATAAATCAAGATAAATTCATGGCATAAGTTTTATGATGCAACTTTTGGTCTCATTCCATAGCGAAGAATCTACCATTTTTGATAAGGAAGCGATCAACGAAGTGTTAGCTAACAAAAATTTGTATCACCATTTTTTGGAGATTTAACCTCTTTTATTAGGTTGGCACGAAAGTTCTCGGACTTTTAGACTAGATCTGCTGTCGAAACCGAATGCCTGTACATCCGATAGAGGTACCATTTAATAGAGTAAAGCAAGCCCTACAAGATGGTATGCGAAAGTTCGCATTAGCTTCGACCCACCGTAAGTTTGCATCCAGAATCTGAGTTGAACCGAAGGCTCGAAAAATTGGGAAAAATTCACAACTTCGTAAATATCTTACGGATCTCCAACTTGCTCACTCAAATTGCATTGCATCAGACACTCATATGTGCCGTTCCTTTTTTTTCAACTAGAATTCGAAAAAGTGAAAGTTCTTACGCTTATGCAAATCGAAGCTACGCAGTTCCCACTCATGGCATTGGTTTATTACAAGCCCTTGGAATATAACCATAAATTTTCAGCTTTCTACAGGCCTTAGTTTCCGAAAATTACCAATTTTAGCTATCCTCGGGCGGGTGTTCGATGCTAAAATCAATTTTTCTCGAAAACTAGGGCTTGTAGGATGCTGAAAATTTATTATACTCCTAAGGGCTTGTAGCATGCAATTACATGAGTAAAAAAATCATAGCTCGTTTGAACACGAAAATTTTCGTTTTTTCGGTTTCTGAATAAGGAAAAAATCCAAAAGCGGTACATATGAGTGTCTGATATGATGTGCAATTAATATGAGCAAGTTGGAGATACGTAGGATTTTTAAACGAAGATATGAATTTTTCTAAATTGCTCGAGCCTTCAGTATGACTCAGATTTTGGATGCAAACTTACAGTGGGTCGAAGTTGGTGTGAACTTTTGCATACCATCTTGTAGAGCTTGCTTTGCTCTATCGAATGGTATTTATATCGGATGTACACGCGATAGGTTTCGAGAAATCGCAGTCTCGTCTGAAAACGTCCGAGAACTTTCCAGCCAACCTAATATCAGAACATCGCATGCAATTTTTCATGAAAGGACATCATAGATTCTGTCGCAGCATCAGGTGGTTTTCTGACAAGGAAAGATTCCGAAGTTAGAAAGAAAGTAGATAACCACTCAAGCTTCAGTTTTTTTATGTATTAGGTTTCTTGAAAAAATTGCACTAAATTCCGAACCGTATATCCGTCAGCAAATATTGAATTAGTTCTATCAGAAGAATAATCTAATAAAGGTCATTCAGTTGGTTTATGATTTTTGCGACAGCACTACTCAACTTTTCGTCGATTTTCTTGGAATCTCCCAATAAGCAATTTTTTTCAAAAGTGTTTCGTTGTCATTATTCCTCTCTTTTTTAAGAAAATCCAAACCTATCAAGATACAAAATGTAAGAATTTTCGTGACGTTCTGACAACGGTTTGAGATTGGCATCATAATCTTACAAGTACCATTTTCAACATTGGTACAGAGGGTAAGATTATAATGTTAAACCTATAATTTCTAACAATACAACCGACAGTTTAGTTTTTTGTATACGTTTTTTAGCCGGTAACCAAGATTGTTGATTAGATTAATTAGATTCAATCGAGCTTGGAGTTTGATTAATAGTCTGATGTTTATATCTATTAGCATAGATCTCCCTTTGCCAAAAAAAAGAGCTTCCAAATAAACCGACGATAAAAGTTGTCTTCACTCGTTTTCCGTACATGTAACGAAAGAAAGCGTTACACTAAAAAGCATGTTAAACTTCGACCTATACACTTTTTTATAGAACGGAGCAGTCAATTAATATGGAGTCTAGTAGAATAGCTAACATGGTGTCCTCTGTCGGCAAAGTGCGCGTAACGATGCTCATAAGTTGAAAAGTTATAAAATATATATACACAACATTGCAAAAAAATTGAAAAGGAGTCTTCTCCATTATGGGCGCACATTGTGGGCATTACAAACGTGGCAGTTCGTCTGCATAATTGGGTCGCTTCATAAGTTCGTAAAGTGTTTATTTTTGTCTCTTTCTCCCATAAAGAGATTACTTCACACAAAAATCAGCATATGCAGGAAACAATTTTGCTCTGTGCGACTAGTTCTTTATTTTCGGTTTTATGACTTTTCAAAGCGATTTTGAACATCTACCATGAAGCCTGCACTTTAGCCTCAATTCTCTCAATGCCACTAAACATGTAACATACACACCATATAATAAGCGTGCGCCTTATTGTAGTGTCTTGACAGGGAGCTTACTTTTATGCACTTTGAACAGTTTTGTTGAACATTCGTTCATAAACCGTATACATTTTCTCTTCACTCACGCCACTGTGATTACCGTATGGGGGGACGAAGATGTTGCCAAAATTGCCATTTATCATTCGAAAACTTTGCTTTGAGGAGTCATCAAACAAAAAGCACATTTGCTTCAAGAATGAAGAAATAACTTGAGTAACATCATCTGCCCGTGTTATCACGTTAGAAGTATCATTATAGAGAACACTGCGATTTTTATACGAAAAACAGTAAAACTTACAAATACGCAACGTTGTACATTATTCTTCTTCGCATCGTTATTTGGTTGTCCCGGTTCCCAATTCACAAAGTCAACCTTTGTCCCGTCAGTCCAAGTCCAGTTTCCGTTCAAATGTACAAGACCTATCCAACTCGCTCCTGCACAACATGTAGTTTGTTTCGTACCCGACTTTGTCAGCTCTGATTAATATAACATAATGATTCTCATTCATAATAAACCAAACGACTCTACCGGCTACGAAATGGTTTTCTTTGTAGCTGTGGATTGAAGTTAAATGTCCTCCAACGGTGATACATACGCTTTCGGCAGTACTAAAGTCTGCCAAGAAATAATTCTGCAATGACAGTTCATGAGCAATCAAAATCTCATCACCTCAAGATTTATCTTTCTGTGGATAAATTAGTATACCTATTACTTGTTTCTTATCCAATTTGATCTTACAAGTTTTTTGAGCCGCAGCTGCAGTGCAAATAAACCTCAATTTTCAGTCACATAATAGAAGAAAGCGCGCAAAAGTTCTCTTAGGCCTGTATGCATAAACATCTCTGCGGCAAGGGGAGCGACATTCCCAATAATACAAAAAAAAAACCGCAGCGACGTCCGCACGCGACCCGTTCAGGACGCCGCTCCCCTCGCCGCAAGGATGTTTGTGCATACGGGCCTTAAGTAGCTACACAAAAAACATTGAGGCTCAAGCAAGTCTTCACACGAGTGGCCCCTTCCCCCCCAATGGGTCGCGAAATTTTTGAAAACGCAAAAATCTTAAGAAGTACCCCTAAAATTTTTTCGGAGTGCGTGGCTAACGCCACGCACCCTCATTCAAAAAAATTTTTTTGTCGCCCCCCCCCAAGCGGAAATCCTGGGTACGCCACTGATGGAAAGTAATGGTGCAAAAATATTATTAAGTGCTCTAAAGTCATCCACAGCGTGGGTATTCACTACTTATCATAAGTTGGTCGGATTAATTTAGCCAAATTTTACTAACTCAACCAATTTTTTCAAATTTCAATTTTTTGCAAATTTGCAGTGATTTGCTAGAAAACAGGGCGATCCACACAAAATGTGACAAACAAAATTTTTCGTAACCTTGTTAGCACTCAAAGAAGAGCTTTAGTTTTCATCTGATAGACAAAATCCGTACAAGTTCTTTCAGATTACTTTCAAGATATTTGTCCGGCTGGGTGATAAAACTTATCCTTCTCGGAGAAATTTTCAAAATGCGCGCAATGGTTTTTTGGCGGAATTTCTTCCTACGCTCTCACGACATCTTCTTCTAGCAAAAATAATGACATAGGTCTGAAAGAGTGGACTTTTTGCTCACAGATAGTCCAGGAAGAGAATTCGTATGTTTTAGAATGGGCGAGTCGAAAGTCCAAACATTGCTCGTCATATGTGGCTCACTTGAAGTTTGGCGGGTAGCGAATAATCAATTTTTTGATCTATTTCGTTCCATGTTTTGATGATAGTCTTCTTCTCCACAACCTTCTGTCCGTGTAGCCATTCCTGGCTTTGGTGCCTAATTAAAGATGATCAAGTTTGAAGGTTTATTGAACGCAGTCGCAATGGCGACAAAAATCGCAATTTTTCGAGATTCTGAAAACATCATAAGCAAACTTGAAAGAGTTGTGGTACTTTCTTGGCCGAGGGCAAGCATTAAGGAAGCTGTTCAGAGTTTTCAGCATGTTTCAGCTATTTTTAGCTTGTCTATCAAGCGAGCAGAAGCTTCTGTTTTCATTCAGTCCTTGTGAGGTTATGGTATGTTGCGCCACACTTCATGTGAACCATTGAATATATTGAAAGGAAAGCAACTTTGTCTTAAACCTCAAATAATTTTTAATAATTTAATAATAATTTTAATTTTTCTCAAACCTCAAATAATATATTCATCCCAGCAGCACAAAAACCGCTACTAAACTCCGAGATACTGCGAAATTTTGATTTCGTGTGCTGCTAAAGGACGAGACCCACGTTGTGCACAAATCACAGGTGCTACTTATCTTTAGATGTTTACTACATCTATCCCTAATAACAACGTTGAGGGAATCTTTTGAAAACTTTCGTCCTTCAATTTTCAGCCTTATATTACGCTTCATCATTTTGGCCGAAGGTTTACCAGGAGCTGCGCAGAAGACATTCATGAAATCGTGATGATGGATTTGACTGCGTTCTTTGCGTCCACAGAGCATAAAACATTCGTACAAAAAGGCAATACCTCCCTTCTTAGCTCAGTCACTTCCAGTGTCTCTATACGATCATATGTAAGCAGAAGAACCATTCGAGTAGAGATAAAACAGAGATTTTTAAAGCCCTTTCGTTCAGCTAGCGTGCCCACAACATTTGTACACAAATATCGTTATGCTTGTTGGCGACCAATTTGTCATTTAGTGCACGTACAGTACATATTTCAACTCTCGTTTCAAGGCACTCCACCCGAGTGTTGAATTCGCAAGAGCACTACGTTAACTGTCAAATCTTCTGTACTTCATCTGCTCTGCAATTATGATCAAAAGGAGCGTTTTTTCTCAGTGCCGCTGTTGCGCGCAAACTTTTCGGCTGCTGGCAAAGTGAGTTTCGTTTTCGAAAAAATGCACATTGATCCTCTGAATGTCTCAAACGCGTCTTATAGTTGATCAAATATTGGAGATTTTTGTAAGAAAAATTACTCTAATAAATCATTACAGGTTTTTATGAGACACAATTATTATTTGCTTTACGTTTGGGCAACAGGCCGTCATCGGCGGCCTGAAAGTAACCTTGATCTACGCTCTTTCCAGTAAACCACTTCTACTTGTTTTTCATTCACCCATTGTAGAAGTAAATATCTTGGAAGGACAGATTCACCCACTTGTGCGTCACTAATGTAGCAGTGTCACTGCTGGAAAACTCGATTGACCGCGAGTGAGAATGAGCAGTGTTTATACTACGAGACACAGGCAATTAGCACATCTATCCGCTGTTAAAGGTAGTGTCCGGGAAAAAAGTCAATTTTGAGATTGAGTTTTTGAGGGCATAATTGCTAAATGCTGAATCTTAGAAACGGCAAAAAGGGCTCTAACGGAGAAGAGGAATCAGCACTGGGCGGATCTTTTCTACTGTAAATTCACGCTCCCATTTTCCGGAAATTTTGCCCATTCCGTCAGCTGACATCTCCACAAGCCAAGTGCGAATGCGTGACTTGAAATCGGAACCGAAAAGATCGCCCCGGAAGCTAAAAACTGGAAACACAGCGGAAAAAGACTTCTTTTCCCCCTGGCTGATTTCCCTTTTGCCTTTGAGCCCGTTTTCGCGCTCTCCACTGTGGATTTTTGGATTCAGCATTGCGAATAGGTTCGGGTAAGCACGAAATCTCAAAATTAACTTTTTGCCTTGACACTGCCTTCAAAGTGCCATCATTGAGAATATTTAATGCTGCAGCGAAAATCCGCAGCGGTGAAAGCGAAAGGTTAGAAATTTGCCGAAATCATTGTATCGAACGGCCATGAGGGGCGGCCCAGAGGAACAAACAGAATATCAGCGAAAGTGCAGAAAAAGCAGAGTATACATAATATGCATCCGTGGTTGCCTTTAGCTCTGAGAGGTTTGTAACGGCTATAATACAAAACCTATTACAAACGTAGCTCGAGAACAATGCTATTTGTCCATTCCGCGAAATAACATCAAATAGCAGCTAGTCTACAGCAAATTTTGTGGTACTAGTTGTATCTCGCAAAACAGCGTAGCTAGCCCTTACGGAAATTCCGGAAGTTGAGCGAAATCTGGTGTATTTTACCAAAAGAATGTAAATGTTCTGCCGTCTATTAGGTCGGTCCGAAATTTTTGTCGTTTCTGAAATGACCTGCAAACCTCGTGCAATAAAGGAAAACAAACACTTCAAGTCGTATCCGATACCGACTTTGTTACCTTCTAGCCGCTTATTCCCGTTGTGATTCGTTAGGAGAATGCTGAAGAAATAATCGCTAAAAATTACAACCCGTCATTTTTACAATACCTAACTTCCCTATTTTTCAGAATTTGTGTGAGACTTTTGAGCAAACTCCGATGGCGGCACAGGGCAAACCTTTGCCAAGTAATGCAATCTTTCTTCTTTTTCAGCTACTTTTTCAAAATTTTGCCATTTAGTTTTCCAAAAGGTAGAGTTTTGGAAAAGTTGTGTGACTTATTATTGAAGCAAACGCGGCATCTTCGGATTTATGAGTTTAAAACTCGATTACCATTGGCACTACCTCACAAGGTAAACGAGCGATTTTTGCTTCAAATAAGAATTTCAGAGCATGTCAGCATTCGTGGAATTACTTCGATTTCTGCCGTAAGTTTCGCATGCCTCGCCAGGAAGGACAGAACAGTTTTGAAAAGACGAGAAAAAGTTGTATAAATTCTGAGCTGTTCACCATTTTACGAGGATAGAATAGGCAAAATGTGACACATGGTCTCTTCAAAAAATACATTCCAAAAATACTGAGATGCAAGCCACAGAACCAAAAAAAATGTTTCAGTTGGCAAAAGGTTTGTCCTGGCTGAATAATAAAATTCCCCCAAAAATCTCACATGAGAATTATGAAAATTAGCGAAATTGGACATGGTGAAAACAAAGGGTTGTATTTCCTAGCAAATATTTCAGCACTCCTAATGTATCGGTGAGGCCAGCCGTCCTCTAAGTGTACGTGTGAATGCACACTTAGCAAAAAATGCCAAAGTCTAGTGAGTCCATTAAGAAAGCATTGAAGAAAAAGAGCATAACGGCATGGATTATGACATAAAGCATCATAGCTTACGGGCCTCAAATATCGGCGTGGAAAGCATTGGAGGCGTCCATCATATTTGCTGGTGGTCCAAAACGTAATAGCAAGAATGATGCTATCCATCGATGTGATCTGATGCCATATCTGTCCTTTTGTAATCTATGGATTGTCTGCGCGTATATCAGCAGACTCGTATTATGAAGACTGCACATTCTCAACTCGCATCAATCCAGCAGTTAGACTGTTATAATGGTGACACACAAAAAGTCTTCTTCTTTCAACTATTTCCGCAAAGGACGAATTGAATAAGAAGTAGAAGAGGGTGTTTGTACAAGGGAATTAGATCAAAGTGACCGAGGTTGGCCTGTTGCCGAAACATGAAGCAAATAAAGTCTGTAATCAAAAAACCCTTTTACGACATAAAAAAATTGTATCTAATTTATGAACACTTTTGAACTATGTATAGAGCTTTCGGGAACAGAAGTCAAAACTTAGAATGGTTCTGCCGCATAAACTGCATTGTCTTTTTACCGTTTTCCGTCCACCGATTACTTGCATCAAGTAGCTAGTAATTTGTCTGCCATCTATGATAGATGGTTTATATAAAAATCACAGAAATATTTGTATCAGGTAGTGTGTAATTATTAAACTTTTCCTGTCTTATGTATTTACTTCAGGCGCTGAACGAGTCAAGTTTGAGCATGATCGTACCAACAGATGCTTTCAAATAGACGATACCTTGATCTATTCTGTCACAAAGTCGTCATGCATACCTTATAGCAAGAATCCGTCTCGTTGTAGTAAGTCCATCCACTTTCACAATATCCAGGATGTGCTAAAAAAAATAAACGAGAATCTTGTAGATGACTTCAAACAGTTATATAGGGCTACATGCGATTTCTCATTAGGAGCAGAGACATGGTTTGTATGCCATTCGTGAGCAACTCGGTGCATTAATACGTGACTTAAACATTTTGAAAAAGAATATAAGGCTTTGGCTGCATTCATACTGATCCCGAAGTCCGGGAACAGTTCTAGCACAACGCTCAGTTCGAGCGCTGTGCTTGAACTGTTCCCGAACTTCGGGATGAACGCAGCCTTTTGGCAATGTATAATCATAGTCTCGAGAAGATTGAACCAAGAAATTAGATGTGCTTCACTAGTCTTTGCAATTAACCAGCATGCAGCAATGCTCATAGTTTTGCTAATAGTATAGCTTTTTGAAAGTATGGAGGTTCGAGCGATGACATATGTTTTGGTTTTGCCCTAGCATTTCATTGATAACTCATGTGGATTCATGGCTATTGTACCGTCAGCAGATTGTATTTTAGAAAATATCGAGAACGACGGTATTTACAATATTTCTTCGCAAACTCACTCAGAACTTCCTTAACGTACAAAATATAAAATTGATAAATGCTGGTAATTGACGTGATAATACATTTTTTGTTATATACCAGTCGGCAAACAATGCTTCGCTTTATATTGATTGGAGCCTGTGACTCTAACTCATTCTTGCAAAACACTTTCTTCTCTTTAAACCTTATCATCACGTTACCTTTGTATGCTCCTTACAGCTTTAAGGTTCAAAGTCCGAAAGATTGGTGAAAGCATTCATTATTTCTCAAAAAAGATGCTGATATTTGTAAGTTCCAAGTTCTCTCTTCTCTGAACCTGGGCATTCTGATGTAGTAGTTTTATGAGTCAGTATGCCGAACCCAGGTTAGTACGGTGGTATCTTTTATTCGACCTTACGTTTCGACACAGTCGTCGTCTTCGGAGGTCTGAAGTAGATTGCAGTTGAATCTTTGAAACAAGACCGCCAAACGCCATTGCCAAACATCAGTGAGCCTAGACTTCGTCCCGCGCGCAACGTACTGAGGCACACGCCGATGAAGAAACTGACCTTTGATCCACCGCGGTGTTAGTGAGAAGTCAGTTGCCGCACAAATGACACGGACGACACTGAGAGCTGCTCAGTGGATCATTCTTTATATATGTGCAGGCTGTAACTCACATATCGACAGATATGGCAAGAGTTCGGTCGCTATTGATAAGCATTCATTTCTGTCATTCATGCTTGGATTTCTGACGGAAATCCATGCTGCTTCCATACTTTTTCGTCCTACAATTTCTGCCTCGTATGATAGGATTGTGCATTTCACATCAAATTCACCGCCATCGTGTGCTTCTATTCTATGTTTTCCCAACGGTGATAATGCATTACCTCGCCTTTTATTCAATAAGTGCTCCTTAATTCTTACCCGCAACATTCTACCCGTTTCTCCAATATATAAGGCCCCACAGCTTAGACACTCCAGTTGGTACACAACCCCTATTTTCGCGCAATCGCCTATCTTACCGTACGGGCAAACTATACAGTCTTCCGAAAGACATTCGACGTCATATAATCTATTCCTTACTAACTGTTTTTTGATGTTGTCATTCGGGACGTTTACCACTATGACTTCATCTTGTAATTGTGCTCGTACCACACATCGTTTGATTGCAGAGCTGACTGCGTCAGAAATGAACGGTATGCACAGGGGTATCTTACTGTCCTTTTTGCGCGAGTGACCATTATTGCTCGCAAACTTCGAGGTGTTACAATTGGTGGAAGCTTGCAGCATGTAGCCATTATTGCGCGCAATTTGTGAAGCCAGTAACTTAGATTCAAGGCGTTCTTGTTGCCCTGTACAAACGTTCATGGCAGTCGGAACATGTTGCGAACAACAGCCCGTTTTACTGCTGTCGGGTGTGCTGAATTGGCATGCAGTATGATGTTCTTGGAACTTTCTTTCCGGTACCACTTTATACGGATGGTGTTATCAGATAGGCGTACTTGGGTATTCAGGAAAGAAAGCCATCCATCCTTCGGAGTTTCGCGCGTAAGCTTGATATACTGTGATTGCTGGTTCAAAAGTATGAAGCATTCGTCCATTTCGGACTGTGTCGACGTTATGATACAGCAATCATCGACGTAACGAGTATATCAACGGAAAGCGTGCCAATACGGGTTCCTCAATTTTGCTCATAAAGCAAATGGCTAGGACTGGGGCTAAGCGTTGACCCATCGTCAGTCCACGAATCTGGGAATAGTAATTCCCGGACCACTTGAAGATGTTACATTTCAAGCATTCTTTGATGAGAACCAGTATGGACGTTCTGCTCAATCCGAAAGTTACCATGTCATTATAATGAGAATCCAGCATTTCAGACAGTGCTTGTAGTGCGGCATCATTCTGAATATTAGTGTATAGTGAGGTGACATCAAAGGACGACTGACTGTGTCGAAACGTAAGGTCGAATAAAAGATACCACCGTACTAACCTGGGTTCGGCATACTGACTCATAAAACTGCTGATATTTGTGTTTGTAGACGCGTTTCTGATGAAAATGTTCCTGTCGAGTAATTTTTACTCATTTATTTAATTAATGAATGATGCACTACGAACAGTGCGCCAGTATCATGCTGGCACAGTTTTGAATCAGGCGGCCGCAGCTTCACAGGGGGTGTGCCGCACCCCATTAACTATATCAAAAAAAACAATTTTAGCGGACAGTATTTATATAAATCGATAGCCTAAACCTTGTAGATTCCATAGGACTGTTTTAAGTCTGATTCGTCTTCTTAGCTCTGAGTAATATTTGGTGAAAGCACAGCGACCAAAAGCGAAAAATGGGAAAAACGAGATTTTGGTTGGCTTCTAATTCCACAGTTTGAGGTCTTCTAAAGCGGGATTCCTAAGGTGGACAAAGAAGGAGTAGTGCTTTGTTTTGAGCGCAAAAACGGATAGCCAATTCACTTTGAAACAAAGTTAATCATGTTGGAATTTGACCATTTCACTTAGGTAGCCTAGTATCTTAATCTTCAGAATTCGCTTACATCGCTTACACTTTGTCTACAGGGGTTATTTGACATGCTAATTATGGATATGTTGCCCATTATGTTGGCAGGGCCCTCAAGTAATGCTATTTTAAGTGTATATTTCAGGGGGGGGGGTACGTTTTATTAAGACAGAAATCGGGGGGGGGGGGGGTCGTAATCAGCGATCGTGTGCCACACCCTTTGCTTGACCCCGGTTACGAACATTTCTGAGGCAAAGTCTTCTACTAACAAAGCTTAGCCTAATGGCTTCTGTGGAAGATCCTAATGTAAGCTAGTTGTTGCAACCGCCAAATGTTATGTTTCCACATCGTGTGGCTTCGTTTGGTTGTATGTATTTCGAATGGCGCTTAGAAAGTCACAAGAGCAATTTCGTGGATAAATATGTCTACACGTGACTTCCATCAGTTAGCATATTTCAGCTTCCAAAAAATCCAGATGTTGCCTGTTGCAAGTGAATTTTGGTAGAACTTTTACGGCAAGAGGTTTTGGTCACACCCGTAATTAGCGCTGGTTACCACACTTGTAGTCTAGTTACACTTGACAAAAAGATTCTAACTTTTCCAAAAAAATTTTTCCTTATCTCAAGATTAAGTGAACGATAGCCGTTTTTCAATTATACTTCACATATGAAAAGTCCAAATTTTGAATTTCCAAATTTTTCTTATTTTTGACAAATTCCCAGCTTGCGTTATTAGAGACCTTTATATTTATTCTAACTCATATCTGTGAAAGTGAAATTGATGCTAATAGACAGCCCTTTATCCTTTGCTTAGATGCGCGAAAAATAAGAGTGTGCTAAAGTTTTTAGACTTTTTGAAAAGATGTGAAAAGTCTCACAAAACTCATGCTACGACCTAATAATATGCCTCTCACCTGTATTCGCAAGTTTTGGGCAGGAGCAAGGAGGTTGGTCTGAGCCTCTGAATAGATAGTTTCGAAAACTTATTTGTGGCTTAACACTTACCTGAAGATCAGCTCATTGCTTATCGGCTTTACGAAAGCTTCCGTAAGTGAAATTGCCAAAAGCCAGCTTGCCAGGAACTCCATTGAAAGCATTCTGAATACTTTTTTCATCGATGCATGTGTAACTCGTAAAATATTCAGATCTATAAAGTCGTTAAGCAATATATCAGAAAGACAAGAAAGCCACATTGGGGTTGGCAATCATGAAGCGGTGCATTGAGGTTCAGTTCCTAATCAACAAATCTCGTTACAGTTTTGGCACAGCTAGAGCGTGCTGAACTGTTCTAGAATGTTTCGCGGAAATGTGAAATGTAACCACTGCGTACGCCGCTTAGTCACGCGCAAGCACCAGGGGTAAGAAGTAAGAATTTTCAACATTTTCATATTTTCTAATATAAGTTTTCCCCTTTCAGCGACCTGTAGCTTGCAATCTTGTCTCTCTTCTAAATTCCCCTCCTTGTAAAGAAACCCAAGCAATAATAGCTGCCATTTTCGAATATTTGTAGGAGTTCTTGATTATTCAAGAAATTTGCGCATTTTTCAAATGACATAGTAGTTTTAGCCAGATAGGCTGATCAAATACATTGTAACTAATGTATTACATGATATATTGCTCTTACCTTGTTCATTTAACGTAAGCTGCCTTGAAATAATCTAAAAAATAGCAGATTTGCCTAAATCTGAGTAGTGATCCCCTGGAGAGTGATCCCCTCCCCATCGTTTCCCTTGTGCATAGCAGGGATGGCCGCTGGGGATCATTCCGCTGGGGTACAGGACGATATGCAGCTGATAGCTACAGCGTTTATGGAAAGCTGGCACGATTTGCAGCTTCAGTTATGTGTAGAAATGCTGGTTTGAATGTTCGCAGTACCCCCCCCCCCCCTTTTTTTTTCGGCAGCATAGCGTCTTCTACTCATTCACTGCAGATACACCTTGACTTCTATTATTGAACATCTTTACGCTGAAATGGGCAGCATGAGCGAGAATGAGCAGCATTCATGAAAACAACTGGAATATAATGGAGGAAATATTTTAGTGCGCCGACCGCAATCACGGCAGAGGACATTCCGCAACGACTAAATATCGCCGAGACGCATTGAAGGCGAGTAGCTATCAAAAGATAGAAAAAAAGGAATAATTACTGCAAAAAAAAAGCGGAAGCAAAATGAATTCCCCGCTTGATTTCCCCTTCTGCATAAGGGGGCTCTCTCCCCTACTCCCAGGGATTCCCTCTTCGGTATTGTCTTTCTGCATACGGGGGTTCGCGTGGGGAAGGGAGGAGAGCTTCAGCGGGGATCATTTCAATGGTTAAACGCACATCCCCTCCCCGCTGGGATGTACGTGCATACGGGCCTTAATGGCGGATATACGCGTACAGTCTGCCCCAATCGGGATCAGGCCGAACCGTCGGCTGAATTTGCGCGCTCGCAGCGCTAGGGGATTGCGCTACATACGCGCGCTGTCGCAGAGAGTGAAGAGATCGAGGAGAGAGCAGACTAGCTAGCCGCAGATGTGGCGCGAAACCCTTGCGGCGCGGACTCCCGCCATGCCGATTTTGGCCTGGTTAGGATTGGGGCAGACTGTACAACCCCGAGGAAGGGGGGGGGGGGAATCTGAGGAGGGACGCCATGTTTCGGTGCTGTGGACATCTCTATTCCTCTTCGTCCGTCTATCTTTTGAAGATTCTTATACTTTCCTATTTACATATAATGCATGATAACATTTCGAAAAAGGCGAGAATATTTTGCGACCACTTCTCATTTTCGAAGTTATCTAATTTCCTATAAACTTGATGAAAACATTTTTGAATGTACGATATGTAATGCTCTGCTAAACATGCCTATGTTATTATTGAGCGAAATCTCAGGCTATTGAAATCTTCGATGAACCATAGTTCGTGAGCTGAAGTTTCGAAAATTTAAAAAGACCACGTTTTTCCTAAAACATAGTTAATAGGGCCTAGATCCTCAGTACTTATTCATGACTTCATCGAGTTTCTGGAAAACAGAGAAGATTTCAGACAGAGATGGAGATATGGCAATGTTCTGAGATCCAAGGCATAGTGAATTTCAATACGATGAATCCACACATCAAAGACGTGAAGACCTTTACCAGAATAAAGAGAAAAAGAATACGGATATTCTGAACAAAAGATATGACACGTCTGCTCTCAGCTCCCCTCCCTTCCTCAGCGAGTAATGTACCTGCATATGCAGTATTATGAGAGCAGTAAGTTCTAGGTGTAATCGCCAGTGTTGGCAACACTGGTGGTGGTTTTATTATAAGGATTCTTTTATATTGCACTGTGGCTCTGTCCTCCCAATACCGTAATCCCCTCACAGATAACGGATGCAGACAGTTGCGGCTCCACCCAAATGCCACAGTTTCGAAGTCATTTGATCGAAGGATGCAGGCAAAGTTTGTGGCGTGTCAAAGAAAATGCTATCGACTAAAAACAATGAAGTAACTAGGACAAGAGTAGGAAGAGTTAAGTTGTGATTCAGTAAAGGAACTTTGACTAAAAAATAACTTTTGTAACACTTTTGTGCTATATTTTTTCAACTAAAACAGCACAAAACTATTGAAGACTGTTATTTGATGTCGCTGCTGATTTTCCTAGGTAACGTTATATAGGCACGAGTAGGATTGCTACTCCAAACCTGCATATAAGATTCTTTATTGAAATTCTTGAACGATGACGGGTAGAGTTATTGAGTTGCAGAACTGCTCATTTGTCTATTTGTTTGTTGGCGGACCACATAAGCGCGAAATTTTTTAACAGAAATAAAAGACGATCAACTGACTTTAGCCTTTTGCGATTCAGAAACGTCATTGCTTTCTTATCACTTCGTTTTTGTGCGCTTTTTGGTTAATGTCACTTCAGTTTTATCACGTTTTGAGGGCTCACTTATCAGCAAAAAAGAAAACGATTGCATATTCTGATGTACAGCCCTCAACAAAAATACTATTATCTAACTCTGACTTTCTTGCGATATACGTCATTGTTTCTCATCACCTGATTCTTTGCGCATTCTTTAGATATCACTTCAGCCTTCTCACGTTTGAGGCTCACTTATCAGCTAATAGAAAGTGATTGCAAGTTCTTTTGTGCAAAAGATTAACTACAAGTTCGAAGCTGTAGCAATGCTGAATCATATGTTCTTGATTGCACTCCCCTCCCAAACTTCTTATGAGTGTAAATCCTGAAAGTCATCGGATGAAACGGTGAAACGATGAAATACTTACAATTAGAAGCATTTTCAACTGCGCAAAAGTGCTCATGAAGTCAATCCCAAGTCATGTTTGTTAATTGGCGATGCAGTATGATCAGGGCTCGGCACAGGTGGCTTGCAAAGCAAGCTGGTTATCGTTTTTGGGGGAAAAAGCAAAGGGGATATCGTTTCTGCGGAAGAGCATATTACTGTCTTTCGATCTGCTGCCGGCACGCTACCGGCATGCCGCCAGCAAATAAACAAAGGGTTTGTTTACAGTGAAGTGAAGATGAAATGGCACCAAAATAGGGGTGTAGATGGGCAATGGGGAGTTGGGACTATGTATGAAAAATTATGAAAAAATTATGTGAACTATGGGCATGGCAGACTTTTTTCGGGGTTAGGTGGCTTTCAAGCCACCTGGATAGCCACCTGAGGTGGCTTAGCGCAAACAAAGTCATATAATTCCTACTCTTTACATAATTTTTCCCAATTTTTTACATAAAATTGATCTACATCTAATACTCTACAAAACAGCTCTTGTACCTCCCCAAACCTTCTCCTCCCCGCCTAGTTATAGCCCTCCAAATTATCTGGATGGAAGCGGCAAAGCTGCTCCAAGCTCGCGGTTTTGCGCGGCGGACACAGCATGCCGCCAACCCGGAGAATACAAACAATTACTAGTTCTTTTTGCCCATTTATTGTCTGTCTTGTATTCTGTTTCATTCTTTTTGTTTTCATGTTTGATTTGTTCGTTAGCGTGTCAAGGGGGATGTCGTAATTTTGTGGCGAAGTCGAGGGGGACTTCGTTTTTTGCATTTTCAACTAGCCACCTCGTGCCGAGCCCTAAGTATAATATGCCAAAGTTTACTTTTTCACCTTCCGATTATTCAAAAATATTGAGAAAAGTAGCTTAAATCTGAAATCTTGCGGAAAAAAAGTAGATTTTACGTACTTTAGAACAAATTTTATTGGAGTAGCTTATGTAGATGCGTCTTTTTTCAGTCTTTTTCTTTTGCTTTCCTGCTCTTTTCGGAGAAAGAAGCGAAATTTTTTTAAAGAAAAATGTACTGTCATTGATTCTTTTATATTGCACTGTGGCTCTGTCCTTCCACCGTAACCCCCTCACAGATAACGGATGCAAACATTTGCGGCTCCGCCTAAATGCCACAGGTTCGAAGTTTTGATCGAAGGATGCAGGCGAAGCGAACTGTATCTGGAGTATCAAAGAAAATGGTATCGACCAATAACAAAGAAGTAACTAAATTGAAGGTAGGGAGAGTCAGATTGGTGACGCAATGAAGGAACTTTGACTCATAAAAAACAATTTTTGTAATACGTTTGTGCTATATTTTTCAACTAAAACAGCACAGAACTATTGGAGGCTGTTGTTTGATGTCGTTGTTGATTTTCCCGTGTAACATTGTATAGGACGTTAGTAGGAATGCTCCTTCGAGATAGGCAAAGTAGTTGTTTGTATATAATCGTTTGACTATAATTAGTGGCTTAAAACCTGCACGTGAGCTTCTTCACTGAGAAGCGCAAACGAAGACGGGTAGAGTTATTGAGTTGCCAAGCTGTTCAATTGTTTATTTGTTTGTTAACAACCATATAAGCGCAAAGTTGTTTTTGGCAGAAATAAAGGACGATCAACTGACTTTAGCCTTTTGCGATTTAAAGACGTCAAAACGCTTTCTTATCACTTTGTGTGCTTTTTGGTTGATGTCATTTCAGTTTTATCACGTTTCGAGGGCTCACTTATCAGCGAAACAGACAATAAGCAGGTCTTACTGTGCAGCCAAATAAGTACAAGATTGAATTCGTTGAAAGTTTGGGTTTATAAGCTCGCTTGTTTTGACTGCAATCCCTAAATTTCTTTTCCGTGTGCAGGTTGAATGTTACTGAATAGAACGGTGGAACAATGGCACTATCAAAGATTCTTTACTTATAGTGCTGCTAAACGCAAGCCCAATCCAAGTGTGATCCTAGGCCATCACTCTGTATGTGGGCTAGACTAAAGGTAAGTAGAATTAACGCAACTTATCCTTTTTTGAGTACTACTTTGATGGAGAAAGAGACTAACGGTGCACACAGCGCTATTACATGGAATAACTATGAGAGAAAACAGCATCGACTACCAAAAAAGAACTGACCAGAAAGCAAGGCGAGACAATTTGCGGCACACTGGAAGTATTTAGGCCACACGAGCATTCTTTGTAATCTGCGCTCATTTCAAATTTTTTAGCTAAAACACGACAAAACTAAATTGCGTTCAATCTCGATTTTTCCACGTAACGTTATATTAATACCTTTGCTGAACTGCTTCTTCTGTGTTGATTGCACTGCAATTTAGAAACGTCATTGCTTTCTTATCATTTTGTTTTTGAGCGCTTTTCGGTTAATGTCACTACAGCCTTCTCACGTTTCGGGGATCGCTTATTAGCTTATTAAAAGTCAACTTTCAGTTCTGTTGTGAAGCAGAATAATCAATCCGAAGCCGTAGCAAATGCTGAATCATCATAGATTCTTGACTGCACTCTCGCTTCCAGAATTCTTATAGGTGTAATGCCCGAAAGTCACTGGATAAAACGGTAAACCGATGACATACTTGAAAGCTTCTTTATCGGCGCAAAAGTGCTCATGAAACAAATTTCAAGTCAAGTCTGATAATTGGCGACAGTGTAAATGCAAAATTTACTATCTCACTTGTGATTCAAGATAATGAAGAAAAGTTAGCATGATTTTGCAATCTTGTGAAAAAATGAATTGAAATCAATGCAACTTTTGAACACCTTTTTTTTTGGAGTATTAGGTATACTTTCCTGCACTAGATCCACAGAAGAAAAGCGAAATTTTTTTCTTGAAGAAATGTAAAAATATACCAACGAAACAAGGTAAGACGACAAGTCTTTTTATGCAGCAATAGTACGAGACTCAAGGTGTAGAAATGGCATGGCTCTAGACTCGCTTGTTTTGAATGCAATCCCAATCCGAATTTTTTTATGGGGTTGAATGCTAGTGAATAAAACGGTGAAATGGCACAATCGAAGCTTCTTCACTCAAACAGTGCTGCCAAAGGCAAGCCCAAATCGTATGTGATACCAGTGAATACGAGGATAAGGACAAGGACAAGTAGAATCAATCAACCTTTTTACACCTTTTCAAAGTACTGGTTCGATGGAGAATACACCTTCATATTATGCTTCCGTTTTCGTAGATGCGACTTCATATCGAAATCTTGCGTTTTGAAAGCAGGGGGCAAGTCTCAACTTTTCTTTGTTTTCCTTGCTCTAATCCACCAAAAACAACGATTCCTGAGAAAGTGCACAGTCTTTGCGGAGAAATTGTGCTAATGCACTTGAGAGCAAGATTTTCGAAAAATTTTGAGCTGAAAAATCCTCAAGCATAACACGTTCGTTGTAATCATTCAAAGTTGCATAAATGCGAGGCACAAACCGATCAAAAACTCTTTTATGTGTAAAAAGGAACTGAGGAACGAAAATGTTGACTCCGGGCCGCCTCCGCAGACAAGTGGCTCCTTTTGTGATGCTCAAGTCGTTTGAAGACGGCATCCATGCAAATTCTCGAATTTTTTTTTTGTCTTGTAAACTTTTTCGGGGCGCTGATATGGTGCTCAGAAGACGTGCTTTCGTCAAATCTGCTTTTTAAATTTTTTTGTGAAAAGTGAGCGAGAGCCAATGGTGTTATCCTTGTCCAGAGCAGCCGT